TTTTTTTTTTACATCTCTTTCTTTTCGTCTGTATTTTTATGGATTAGCTAGTCTGAGTGACTGGCTGAGACACCTCATCGGGGCATGATTCAGACATCGTGGATTAATCAATGGCCCAATTCCAATACGCCGTATGCTATTTATCTCCTTCATTGAATACAATGGTCAACGGAATTTTTTTTCTCTTCCGATTGTCTGCTAAGCCGAATTCAAGCCCTTGACCTATTGTCGGTGATGTAATCGGTGACCGTATCTAAATCCTCCCCTCTCCTACATACTCATTGTATTGGATGCAATACCGATTCTTCATCCCACTCAAGAGATACGCCAAAGGCCTCGTCCTCCTTCATTTCTTTTTCACGGCAACATCCCCAGTTTCCCTCCGGCGACTTGAAGGTCAACCAGGACTAGGGACTTGCACAAACGATGATCGATCGATTATTGACCGAGGGCATTGATCGAGTGAATGGGAGGAGGGAAGACACGGAAGTCGGATTCCCCCTGCTTTATTAGGTCTTGTCTTGTTAATGATGCAATGCTCTGAAGACGACGTTCAGGACTATGATAGACGATCTACTCTTGTAATGCACATCTGTAGCCTCACACGGCTCTCCCGTGTAGACCCTCAATAAAGTATCTGGAACAGGCATGGAAGAGACGAGGTATGCTTTACGGATGCTTTAGGGAACAGGATTCTTCATTAGACGCTGAGAAGGAGCAATACTTGGGCAGGACGGGATTCCACTCGGAAGTTCTACTAATTGGATTCAACGTCCATGCTTTGTTCTCCATTTATCGATGCATGATAGCTCTTCACAAGCCAAGTGCTTAGCCTTGCATCGTTTACAAGGTGCAGGTCTTCAAGACGATTGCTATTAATGCCCTCTTTCTCTTAATTATGGCCATTTGGGCATGCCATTCCTCTCAAGAGGACAATAAAAAATACCGGTATTTGAAGGACGAACATTTTGAATAAATGGTTCCTAGTACTTGTGCCGGATTTAGGTCGCGCTAGATCAAGAGCGATAAAAATAAGGAAATAAACTTTTATGAAATATCTTTTTTTTTTAATGGCATCCCAATTTCTTGCCCGAGACTCAGACGATGTTCAACTTTCTTTCGAGATCTCAAAAGACACGGTCATGAACGGCAGAACTGATCACATTTCAATCACCATATTTATATCAAAATGGAGCTGGAATCGCACCAATCCAGCCTAATGTAGATACAGTCCAAGAAGCATCTTTTTTTCCCTAAGGAATGGGCTTAATAATACCTTTCCGCTGTATTTGACATACTGTAGCTCTTGACCCCACTCTCATATCCACCATGAAACACCACCACCAGCTCTCTCGTAGCTCCTACATCGGTAGTCGAGTTAGATTCATGTCGCAAAAAATGACAATGAATTGAGGTTTGATGAGTGAGGCATGAAGGTTGAGAGAATTCGGATGGGCACGGTCCGCCATAGGCCGAGGCAGGGGGGAAGGGAAGATGCCGGAGGGAAGCTGGAGGCTGTGGACGTGGTCTTGAACTCGGGGACTACTCCTCCTCCTCCTCCTCCTTCCCCAGTCAGTCAGTCAGTGAGTCAGCGGTGAGACGTTGGTCGCTGTCCCTGTCTCTGTGCCTGCCTAGCACCTCCACGTGCTTCATTCGCGTACCGGTGAGACTCTCCTTTTCCATTCCTTCGTGTTCTTCTCTTTCCCCTTCCTGCCTTCCCCTCCGTAAAAAACGATTCTCTCAATTCAGTTTGTTCATAAATTTTCGATCAGGCAGGGAAGATAGGTAATATGAACGAACTAGGTATACCTTTCCCAGATTCTGATTAACTTGAGTTTGGTTCCCTCCAGAAAATGAATACGTACGATGGAGCGATAGCGGATTAAATCGCAGAGATTTCAGGCAAATGAAAAATTGAGTAGCATCTGTGCGCAAAATTTATGGCTGGGAAACATCCTTCCAGGAAGGTGGGCATCGGCGGAGATGAAAAGAAAGTGAGAGCCAGCGTCCCACCTGGACTCAACTTCCTCAACCGGAACCTTTTCTTGATTACTCATCGCAGAATCATCATCATCATCTTCAGTAGCAGCGGCAAGACTTGAAAGCATGTACACTTTAAGACGAGATCAAGACTCGGACGTCGTCCAAGACGGAGGCCAGGAATCCGTTCACGTGAGTAAACAAAAAAAATTCGAAAATACAAAAAGAAGTAAAAGAAAAGAAAAGAAAGTTTGGAAAAAAAAAT